AACCAAACCGAAAACAACTTGTCTATGATTTCAACCATTCAATGAAACTCTTAAGATGCTGGTCAGAGGAACCACCTTCTTTGATGTTGTTCATAGTCTTCTCCTTTGATTCAAGAGCCCTCACTTTAAAATTCTCAACACCTAGTAGTTTCTCTATTTTACATTTAATCTCTTCTCCTCTGATAATCCCACTTTCATCCTTCTCAAATTTCAACCCCACCTTCCAAATCTCACAAATGTAGATCTTGTTCAAGAATTGGTCACCAAAGTAGGGCCAGCAGAGGAAAGGGACCCCCGTTGCTTACCCCCTCCATGGTGGAATTCTAGGCACAGCGACTCATAAAGCAAGCAATGGAAGGATGACCTAGAACTACTTGTTGTGGTGCCCAATCCACCATCCTTCCACGATCAACCACTCTATTATGAAACCCATCTAGGTATGCATTGTCTTTACCTTCCATAATATCTAGTCTCACAACCCATAGACATGGTCTATTGGAGAGTTCAAGGGCTATTGCTAATTCTTGGAATTGTGTATGATTGAGAATAGTGAAGCTGCCAAATGCCATGTATATGACTGAGCACGGCAACTGTTGGTCAAGCCATTTCAAACAAGAGGTATCCCCCGGCCAGAAATTAACCTCTAAGTTTCCTTGTTTGTCAAGTCCTGAAAGCGAGCCCACAGGGAAGAGCTTGGGAACCAAAGCAAATGCTTCATCCTCTAGGTCGTATATTGAGTTGCAGAGTAACCATTCTGCTTTGTTGATAGCTCTAATGTTTCTCAACATGAGATCAAATAAAATCTTTTGGGTGGTGAAGTTCTCAATGGTTGTCCACATAAAAGTGGAAGGGTTCATATATTGCAGGTGTATTTGGCAGTAATCGAATCATCTCGTGTTTAAGTGGAGTACATGCTAATGAAATTTCACAGTTAATTCGAGGATTACTTGAGAATTGTGTACAATATTTCATTCTTACCATTTTCATCAATAACTCCATCATCAATCAGATTGGGGATGGTAACAATCAAGGCTAGAAGCATGATTGCTGTAGGCCAGAGTGCAGCTCTCTTTATTCCCAACTTTGTTGCAACTTCAACTCCCAATCCCATCCCAATCCCATCGTCATATTAGCTAGAACACATGTAATCTCATCGTTATCTGTTTGACTAATCTTCTCTATTAGCTGCTTGAGCTCACTTGGCATGAACTTCCAGCATGCTTCAGGAAACTTCCCTAAATGATTCCTGTTTTCCTTAGTACCTATCCCATTTGGAATTGAAACTAGACAAACTTGCCCTTCAGGTTCTTTGCCCAACGCATTTGTGATTCGTTTGCGGTTGAATTGTATTCACAAATGTGATTTTGATGCCATGCTTGATCAAGATTTGTGAGAGCTCCATCAGAGGAATTGCATGGCCTTGGGTTGGAAGAGAAACAACCATAATATGTGGATTTCCCGTCCATTGATATGAAGCCTATTTTCTAGACACAAGCTCATGCTTCATTTTATATATGGTTGAATTTTAGCCTTTTTTTATGTTTTCTTGTTGATGCTCTCAAATTTTTCCCAAACTAATGCATGAGTCCCCAACTAAGAGAAGTGCATCTAAGCCCTAAAACCATGAAATTGATGCAAATTGTGCCTCCTCAGAATGTCTCTGCAATAACCTTCAATTGATTACCACTAGGACGAGAGTTTGATTCGCACTTTTTTTAATTAAAAAAAATAACTTTTATTCTTAGATAAAAGAAGTATTTATTTTTAATTAACCACAACTTAAGTAATTGTACTTATTATAATAAGGGTTGTAATTATATAGTAAAATAGAAATAAAAATGTCAAATAATATTAT